ACAAAAAGTTCATTGACCTCATAAATGTAAACAAAGAAGTCATTGATCTTGGAAAAATGTAAACAATAAGGTCATTGACCTCATAATGTAAACAAAAGGGTCATTGACCCCTTAAAATGTAAACAAAAGGGTCACTGACCCTAAATGTAAAAAAAGGTTGTTGACTTGGCTAAATAAAAAAATGGTTGTGGACTTCGCTAAATCGAATATAGGTTGTGGACTTGGCTAAATGTAGCCAAAGGTTGTGGACTTGGCTAAATGTAGCCAAAGGTTGTGGACTTGGCTAAATGTAAACAAAAAGTTCATTGACCTCATAAATGTAAACAAAGGAGTCATTGACCTTGGAAAAATGTAAACAATAAGGTCATTGACCTCATAATGGAAACAAAAGGGTCATTGACCCCTTAAAATGCAAACAAAAGGGTCACTGACCCTAAATGTAAGCAAAGGTTGTTGACTTGGCTAAATAAAAAAAATGGTTTTTTTTAACTTACTTGTTATACATAATTTTACCTCCTGGGTATTGTTTTACATTCCCTTAAGTGTTTATATCTCAATATTTCTGAGAATAAATTAATAAAATTGCATTCTTTATATGGACAAATGAAACCTTTATACAAATGTACATGTATTTATAATTTTGTAATTTAGTCTTTTCGAGGCTAAATAATGGTATGATTGAAATAACAATTTACAGTTTTTGGAATCCAATTAGCATTGTTTTATTTTCCATTTAATTAAAAATCTATTCAATTTTCTCTTCATAGCTATCAGTCACTCAATTCATAAATTTCATCTTGATCGCCGCTTACATTTTGTATATTTGCTCCCTTAAGAACGGCAACTTGCATAAAATCAGATTTATCGAATTTATTGTTAGGTTCAGCACTTTCATTCTCACTATCAGATTTAGTTACATTAATATCACTATCATCTTCATATTTATCGTCCTCATCTTCCTCTTCAATATGTTCCACACCACTTTGTTGAATCTTACGCTTACGCTGTAGTAAAGCGACCCAAGTAAATTTCTCCTCGCACAACGGACATTCACCAGCAATTGGTATGTAATGCCCACGATTGTTTTCATCGGAAGATAATATATAATTGGCTAAGCAAATAATGTGACAAGTGAGTTTACATAGTGAGTTAGTGCATCCAATACGCGAACGCTCAGGGTCCTCAATGCGTTGCATACATAAGTGACACTCGGTTGCCCAAATAGCCTTTGGTGGTTCCTCGCCATTTTTATGTCGAGAGACTTGAGAATTTGGTAACTGAACGTGGCCGCTTACA